GTGGAGGCCATCGCCATTAGGCTGGAGGCCATCGCTACTAGTAGCAAGAAGCTTCCTCTCAGCTTCTGGGCCGTCAGGTGGTGAGCACGGTGGGCGCATGCGGCCCAGTTACGAAGGATCGCGACCGGGGCCGTACTTGGCGGGTCATTGTTCACTGCAATGGATTGGCCGAGTCTATGGGCGACTGGTGCGCTTCTTTGGACGCCACAAGGCCAGGCTTAAAAGACTTAACAAGAAGCTATTAGATACAAGTGCCTTACTAATAGTAACAAGTGCCTTACTAGTAGTAACAAGTGGCAAAGGCTTTAAAGGGTGGCGTGAAGCTTTCCAATCTTTCCTCTCGTCGCAGGCTGCCATAGGACTCACACCAAGCAAATTTGTGAGGTTGTTGTGGTGGCGCAGTTGCAAGAGACCCTTGAGTGGTTGGAGGCTGCCAGCACCGATGAAGAGTCGGCTGAACGCCTAGCGGGGCGGTCCTCCTTCCTGCCCATGCTGCGACAGCAGCGGGCCGAAGTCCTGGAGTCTTGCGCAGAGCTCATTGCAGATGGTGGGGCGCACTATGATGGTGATGAGGCAATAGGAACAAGAAGCTACTAGGGGCTCCTGGCATCGCTACTAGGAGCAAGGACGCTACTAGGGGCTCCTGGCCTTACCACTAGGAACAAGAAGCTACTAGCAACAAAGGGCATCAAGTATCTACAGAAATGGACGCATCACAACATCATGCCTTGGGAAGCAGGGTTGAGAATCGTAGACGTCGTAGACGTCCTCCCACGGAGTCAACCCATGTCAACCCCCTGATGTAAGTTGCAAAGTGTCTCCATGTATATCACTGGTGCTTTTGAACGCAACCAGGCGGGTCGATTTCAAGTCTTTGCCGCCCCATCCATATCTCAAGGCCTCAAGCGTTCATTTGGGGACCTGCGGGACCCGTACAGTGTGTCGGAGTTGACTTAGGCACAGAGAAAACACATCAAAGCACCATAAGATGAGAATATGGTGGGATATGGTGGGAATATCTTAGGACAGTTCTTACAACTTTACTGTTAAAGGCCCGTCCACGTGTCCACGACCCCTGGCCATGTCTGTCGCGAGGTGAATCCTGCCACCGTCCTGCAAGTCCTGCGCGGGGAGAGGTCCGAAGGATCCATTCCCAGCAGCGGCGTGCGAAGTGTTTTGCTGATTTTGGTCTCCCATGGGCATGCGCATCCTGCCGGAGCATCTCCAGGAGCCAGCAGGTATCACGAATGGTACATGCACTTGACGCTCGGAGATGTGCAATGCAGTCTTTTCTTTTTAGGTTCAAGGTTGCTCTTCATTCTCGTAGATGTATTTTATATATACAATTATATACACACACGCATATAAGGGGTGGCCGTGGGGCCTGGGTTTGAGTTTTCCATAAATTTTAGGTAAATGCTAGATAAATGCATTGGTGCCACAGTCACGACTAAAAAACACTCATAAATATGCATAAAGGATCAAAAACACATAAGAAACAGAAAAACAATGGGAAAACCGAAAAAAAAAAAAAACAATTCTCAGAGACTCTTGGCTGGACCCCCCAAAATCAGAAAAAACAAAAAAACAAGAAAACCTTGGGAAAACCAAAAAAACAAAAAAAAACAATTCTGGGGAAGTCTTGAGGAAAAGAGGGTCCAGGCAAGAGTCTCTCAGAATTGGCACCCGCTCTCTCTCTCTCTATATATATCATGTACATACACATAGATACATATATATATATAACAATTTGTTCAATAGATGTGTGTATCTCATTGCCATTCATTGCTTCAAATGGAGTGGAGACGTGTGTGATGGGTTCTGTTCGCATTCCAACCGGAACGCCACGGCCAGTTTCATCAGCTCGGAGCCCCCGCAGAGAATCGATATCCAGCCCACCTCAACGTACAACCCGAAGTCACAAAGAGAATGGCCTTCAACCTACTAGTGATGGCCTCCACCTAGTAGCTTCTTATTCCTAGAAGCGATGGCCTCCAACCTACTAGGGATGGCCTCCACTTAATAGCTTCTAGCTACTAGTCACAAAGAGTCACAAGCAGGGGATAGAAGTTGCCCGGCGAAACGGGCGCCCATGTGCATCCTTTTCGGTCCAGGGATCTCTCCAGACCCTTCAAGGGGTCGCGGGCGCACGTCGAGGCCCTACCCAGTGCCGGAGAAAGACCAAGACCTCTATGAGGTGGTGTCCTTCGAGGGGTTCCACGATGTGGATCCGCACCCAGAATCTTGCAAGTGTCTTTCGTCCCCGTTTTCTTTTTTATCTTTGTTTCTAGTAGCGATGGCCTCCAACCTACTAGCGAAAGGGTTTGGGGAATCATCCAAGCTTCGGGCAGCCCGGTCGCTCGCGGTCGCTAGTCGGAGTGCTGCAAGGTTTGGAGAACATGTCAAGGGAGTTGTAGGTGTGCCCCAAGAAGCCCGGCTCGCGAGAAATGCAAACAGAAAGTTGGAAGATCGTCGAAGTACCACATTGACGACACATGTTTTGTAGATTTGTGAGGCTTTGAGAATAGGATTGGGACTGGGGATGTTTGCCTACTAAGGATTGGGACTGGGGAGCCCCCAAGCATCGGTGGAGGCTCTACTCACAGATGTTGTTCCAGGCTGGGTCAGACGTTGACTCACAACAACTAGAAACTCAGATTCAGAATATTCAGAGATGGGAAGGATGCCCAAATGCGGCATTGAACTCCCTGTCGATTCAACATGTGAATGTAGATTCTGCTTTTGGGCAGCCTTTGAGTTGTCTTTTGCAAAAGCCACTGCCTGCATCCAAGCAGTGCCTTTGGCCCTTAGGCATACCACAGCATGCTGGAGCAATCTCCTCATCGCCGCCTGGTGATTTTTCATCAGTTTTGCCTCTCTGGTGGAGTGGTGGAATTCATGAGGAGGCCCAGCCACCAGGCAGCAAGAAGGACAGAAGCCGACCATCCGGACATTCTGAACCAAGCTATGTTGCAGCCATCGTTGCAAGTATATATATAAGTAGATATACAAGTATATATATATATTGATGTATACACATGTGTATATACTACTAAGGGAGAAACATGGTGAACAAGTGGTCGCTTGTTTGTCGTTCCCATGCTCGAGTGTATCTAGACCTCCGAAGTGATTGCCATTAAATTATAGGGTATTTTATGGTATTTTCATAGTTAGAATAGTGAGCTCGCAGTAGATCCGTGAAATACATAGGGCAAGCATAAGAAGTAGCGTCGCATCCGATATAACTAACGTTTTGAACTTGTGAAGCGTTCTTTAGTTTGGCCAAGCCG